CTTCAAGTCTACAATGGAAACTACCATATCATCCCTCTCTTGTTCTATGTCACCAATTTCTTCTATTAAAGAATTTTTCTCACTAATGATGCTATGATAGGCATCAATTAGCACATTTGCTAAGGACATCAATTTTTTCTTAGAATAAGTTTTAAATATTTTTGAACATCAAGAGTACGTACCTCATCTTCCTCCTTGTCCTTGTCATCATTGGATTTAGCCATGAGTGCAAAGATTGACTCATATTCTGAAGATTCATTGTCTATAACCATCATAGATGCATCTCCTTGTTCATCCTCACCTTTAGATTCACTGGAGGAATCTCCCCAGTCAGCCAAAGCTTGTTTCACGATGTTGTAAGAAACATCTCTTCTTTTAAACTTCCTATCAGGGACCTTGTTCCTCTTAGCCACCTTATCAGTGTTGGTTTTATAATGATCTTACTTATGAAGAGGACGATCTTTAATAAAGTGTCCAAACTTTCCACACTTATGGCATCAATCATTTTCTTTGAAATTCCTTCTGGAACTTCCTTTCTTTGGAATCCCACCATTTTTTCGAATCATCTTTTGGACTCTTTGAGTGAGATACTCCATGTCGGATTTATCACTACTTGAGTCTTTGTTGGCAGTCTTGAGAACCAGGTTCTTCTCCTTCTTGGGCTCTCTTCTTTCAAGGTCCTTCTTTCTCTTTATCTCGTAAGTTTTAAGATTTCCAATGAGTTCATCAATGGTCAGCTTCTGCAAATCCTTGGCTTTAGTGATAACATTCACTTTACTTTCCCAAGAACCTGGTAAAACACTAAGTATTTTTCGGACCAGCATGTTTTTTGGGATGACTTCTCCAAGGGAGTGAAGCTCATTGATAATGGAGGTGAGGCGTGTGTGCATATTTTGAATAGACTCATCCTCCTTCATCTTGAAAAACTCATACTCAGTAGTAAGCATATAGATTTTGGACTGCTTAACCTGAGTAGTTCCCTCACAGGCAATTTGAAGAGCTTCCCTAATCTCTTTAGCAGACTAACAAGTTGAGATGTGGTTGTACTTATCTGGTCCGATGCCACAAACAAGAATCTTTTTTGCCCTGAAATTCTTCTCAATAGCCTTTCTATCAGCATCGTTGTACTCTTTTCTTGTTTTTGGGACTATAACTGTTCCCTCACCAATAGTTTTCATGGGAACAAAAGGTCCATCATAGATTACATCCCATAGCTCTGAGTCCTCAGCTATAATGAAGTCATGCATTCTTGTTTTTCACCAACCATAGTATTGGCCGTTGAATCTTGGTGGTCTGTACGTTGATTGTCCTTCCTCGAAGTTTGGTGGAGCAGCATGTAGATCCTTTCTAGGTGTTAACCTTTTAGAAAAAGCCTACTATGAAACCAATTGATAGAAACTAAGCGTCCACCAAACTGTATAGAGAACTAGTTTCTCTATCAGTTCCCACAGTAAGCAACAGACTATAAAACCAAACAGTATAGGGAACTAGGTTCTCTATCTGTTCCCACAGTAAATCAGCAGTAAATAAAAATGCGCGATATTTAAGTGAAAAACTCCTTGCTCAATGGATTAAAAACCATGACCTACCCTAGTAGGATTTCAACTCCACTAAACCGAGCAAACTTTAGATTACAACTTATGCAACCTAGGAATTAACCTCATAACCCCTCACTAACTTGTAATACTCTATTATAAGCCACTTTGTAATAACTCTATTACAAAGACTTTGGTATCCCTCACTAAATTGTAACACACCTATTACAAGCCACTTTGTAATACCTATATTACAAAGACTTCCAACTCGACTAACTCTAGCTAAGATACAAATACAATGGTTTATGATTTACAAAGGTTTCCTACACAATGCTTCTAACTAAGCTAAGAAGAAATTACAAGTAAAGAACAAAATAACAAAGACTCAACAAACCTATGGACTTAAGATATCTTCAATATTTCGATCTGGTCCTTGAGGTTGCAGTAGCTTTATTCTTGAGAGATGTGTTGGTTAGCACTTAAGAGAATATTTTCTTTTGATTTTCAAGTGTTAGAGAGATGAAATCCCTTGCCTCACATTGATAAAATGCCCTTTTGTTTGGCCTTAACAAGCTACAATTGTGATGTTGTACTGCTGTTAGACGGTACCGTGCAACAACTTTTACAATTGTAGAGTTAAATGTACAACGACCAGGAAAATTGATCCCTAGCTGTCCCCTCTATTATTTTCTTATCTGATTTCATTGAGAATTGAACCAGACATCTGACTAGTTACTCTAAATGCAAGGGAACTAATTGTATCAGATTCTTTATCTTGTTCTCTCATGAAGTTTGTCAAATCATCAAAACAAAAGACGTATAACTTATCAATTTTCCCTTTTTTGATGATCACAAACTTAGAATTGATATTCCCCCTGAGAACCAGATCTCCACATTGTTCCCCTACGAATCAGCCATATTTTCCATGAGAACCAAACAAAAGGAACTGATCACAACTGTTTCCTCAAGATTGTTTGGCAAATCATCAAAACACAAAATAACATGATTTATCACTAACCATAGCAAATTTATCAAAATCCGACACCAAATCGTCACCCAAACTCCCCAATTCAACTCTCCAAATCCCTAGCGTCAAACCCCCAATTTACACCTTAAATACACACCAACTAGGCGGGGAAATCAATGGGGAAACAAGATTAATGATCAAAAATGATCACAAGGGATTTCCCTCAAGAATACCCTCGAAAATCCTCTCAAGAATTGCAAAAAGCCCAGCTCAAAATGTTAAAATGCAGCCAAAGTGTTGAACACTTGTATAAAAACATTATGCGCAACACTTCCACTTTTGCAGAAACTTAACCACTTCTGCTGCCTCGCAGGAGCGACTCAATTCCCGCTTCCGCGCTTCCTCTGTACCTGCGGCCAAATCTTTCGCTCATGCAGACTCGCTTCTGCGAGCCTTGACGTCGCTTCTACGGACCAAGCTCCCAACCTCAGCTCCACTTCTGTGGTCCCCCTATCACATCTGCAGTCACGCAGGTGCGGGAAACCTTTCACACCTATGACCATCTGCTCAACCCTTCCAACCCTCGCATATGTGCTTCTCTCTCCACACATGCGATCAAATCTCTGCAGGTGCGGTTACACCAGCAAAGTTCCAACTTCAACAGTCTTTCAACTTCAGACCTTGATCCGAAAACCATCTGAAATCACCCCGAGGCCCCCAGAACCTCAACCAAACATACCAATAAGTCCCGAAACAACATAGGAACTTAGTCGAGCCTTCAAATCACATCAAACAATACCAAAAACACGAATCGCACCCCAATTCAAGCCTATTGAAACTAAGAAATTTCGACTTTTACAAATGGCACCGAAACCTATTAAATCATATCCGATTGACCCCATGCACAAAAGTCACAAATGACATCACAGACCTATTCCAACTTTCGGAACTCCAATCTGACCCTGATATCAAAAAGCTCTTCCGGTCAAACTTTCCAAAAATCCAACTTTTGCCATTTCGAGCCTAGTTCAACTACAGACCTCCAAATCATAATCAGGACACGCTCCTAAGTCCAAAATCACCCAACAGAGCTAACAGAACCATCAGAACTCCATTCTAGAGTCGTTTACACATATGTCAACATCCGGTCAACCTTCTCAACTTAAGCTTCCAACTTTGAGACTAAGTGTTTCAATTCATTCTAAAATTCCTACGAACCTGAACCGACTAACCCGACAAGTCATATAACAACTGCAAAGCATAAAATGAGCAGTAAATGGGGGAACGGGACTACAACTCTCAAAATGACCTGTCAAATCGTTATATGGTATTTAATATATTTTTTATGTTGTCTTCAACTAAGATCTATCGACAGGGTAATATTATGTACCAAATGATATGTAATAATATAATATTTATAATTAAAAGTTCTACCAAATACTGTTCTGTAACAAATTACATTTTATATAAATACTTTGTTGAACAACACAAATACATTATGACTATTATGTAGATTTTGATGAATAATTTAATGGACAGGTCGAGTGCAGATAACACAAAGTCATGCTAGTCTAGAAGAGTTTGATGCACAATTGACAAGCACAAAATCATGACAATTGAATAGAGTTGGGAATAATTTAACAAATAGGTAAAATGCAGATAACAAAGTCATGTCAATCTGGTAGAGTTTAGTAAACAATTGAAAAAGCACAAAAACTTTCCAATCGGGTAGATTGTAATGAACAACTTTACAGAAGGTAGAGTAAATATAGCATAAACTCTACCAATCCGGTAGAGAATCTCTAACGAGCAATATTTATGTGTGCCAGTCCGGGGCTATTTCTTAAATACCTCAAATTATGGATACATTATGGATAGATTCGGCTAAGATCAGCCCCTTACAGTGTCATTCCTGCTAATCACCTACAATAACAATATACATAAATTTATACAAATTGTAGACACGAATATAAATGCAGGTATAGAGAGATTATTTTTAATTTTATTACTTTTCTAAGATTAGCGAAAGGAAGGCTCGGGACTTGGACCAAGTACGGTGCATCGGAGATGAAGATGGTAAGGTTCTAGTAGGAGAGGTGTGTATTAAGCGTAAATGACAAGAGTACTTCCATAGGCCCTTGAACGAGGAAAAGGATAAGAACATTGTGCTAGGTGAGTTGGAGAATTCAGGGAGTCAGAGGGATTTTGGGTTTTGTAGGCGTATTAGGAGCATAGAGGTGGAGGGTGCAATGCAGAAGATGAGCAGGGGTAAGGCTACTGGGCCAGATGAGATCCTAGTGGAATTTTGGAAGGTAGTGGGTCGGGCAGGCTTGGAGTGTCTTACTAGTTTGTTTAATGTCATTTTCAGGACGAAGAAGATGCCCAAAGATTGGTGGAAGAGTTTGATGATTCCGTTGTATATAAACAAAGGTGATATACAGGAATGTAACAACTATAGGGGTATCAAGCTGCTGAGTCATATTATGAAAATATGAGAGATGGTGGTGGAGATGAGGGTGCAACATAGTGTTACTATTTTTGAGAACCAATTTGAATTTATGCCGGGACGGTCTATGATAGAATCCATTCACCTAGTGAGGAGATTGGTGGAGCAGTATAGGGAGTGGAAGAAGAAGTTACATTTGATATTCATCGACCTAGAGAAGGCCTATGATAAAGTCCCGCGAGAGGTTCTATGGAGATATATGGAGGCTAGTGGTGTCCTGGTAGCGTACATTAGGGCAATTAAGAATATGTACGAGGGAGCAAAGAATCAGGTGAGGGCTGCGAGAGGAGACTTGGATTATTTCCCAGTAGAGATGGGGTTACATCAGGGATCGACTCGTAGCCCATTTTTGTTTGCATTAGGGTTAGATGTTCTGATGCGTAACATACAAGGAAAGGTGCCATGGTATATGCTATTTTTTAAAGACATAGTCTTGATTGATGAGACACGAGGCAGAGTTAATGCTAAGTTGGAAGTTTAGAGACAAGCGCTAGAGTTTAAAGGTTTCAAGTTGAGTATGTTAAAAGCTGGGTACTTGGAGTGCAAGTTCAGTGAGGGATGCATGAAGAAGAAGTGGAAGTGAGGATTGGTACTCAGGTCATCCCTAAAATAGATAGTTTCAAGTATCTTGGGTCTATTATTCAAGGCAACAAGGAGATTGACGGGGATGTTTCTCATCGTATTAGAGCAGGGTGGATGAGATGAAGGCTTGCATCGGGGGTTTTTTGTGATAAGAATGTGCCACCTGGACTTAAGGGCAAGTTCTATAGAGTGGTGGTTAGACCGACTATGTTGTATGGAGCTGAGTGTTAACCCGTCAAGAAGTCCCATGTACAAAAGATGAAAGTAGGTGAAATGAGGATGTTGAGATGGATGTGCGGGCATACTAGAAAAGACAAGATTAGGAATAAAATTATTAGAGACAAGGTATGAGTGTCATTTGTGGAGGATATGTTGTGGGAATCGAGGCTGATGGTTCGGGCATGTGAAGAGGAGAGACATAGATGCTCCAGTGAGGAGGTGTGAGTGGTTGTCCATGGAGGGTCTGAGGAAGGGAAAAGGTTAGGCTTAAGAAGTATTGGGGAGAGGTAATTAGGCAGGACATGTCATTACTTCAGCTTACCAAGGACATGACCCTCGATAGAAAGGTGTAGAGGTCGGGGATAAGGGTTATAGGTTGACAGATAGTAGTGTATTCCTCCTAGGCCATTCAGTAGTACTATGACTATTTTTTGCAATTTTTTATTTATAGTTCTTTATTATGCATGCTGTGGCATTCACACCCGTTGCCATGTTACATTGTTCCTAATATTCTTTGTTACTTGATTGCTTTATCTTCATTGTTCCTTGAGCTGAGGGTCATCGGAAACAACCTCTCTATTTCTGTGAGATAGGGGTAAGATCTGCTTACACACTACCCTCCCCAAACCTCATTTATATGATCAAACTAGGTTTGTTGTTGTTGTTGTTGTTGTACTTTTCCTTTTCAGTTTAAATTTGTTTTTACCATGCAGATATAAAGATATGCATGATGCAAATGCAACAAATAAAATAAATTTTAATATGGAAACAGTAAAATAAACTTACAAAATAAAACACGTTTTCTTTTTGTAAATTCAAAATGAAATGTAATTGAAATCAATAAGAGAAAGTTTGTATAAAGTCTAAAATGTATTTCTCTGTCTTTTACACTATGTATGTGCCTCTATAAATTTACAAAGGAATGAGCAAAATACAGGGAGTTGTAAGCGTGTAACAGACTGTAAGAAATGTAAAAGTGTTATAAATATATTATATTATGAATGTTCATTTAATACTCCATTGTAAATAAGTTTCCTGAAGAAGCTTACTATACGGGACTCTGCCGTAAATATGTTTATCTATTTAGTACTCTATTGGAAATAAGCCTCCTGAAGAAACTTCTCACTTCGGTACCCATTTATGGATAAATATTACCCCAGTAGAAGATTATCCATATCATGTATAATAAGCTTTTCCTTTCGATACTCCGTTATGGATAAACATTACCCCCGATAGAAGATTATCCATACGGGGTACAATGAGCTTATTCTTTCAGTACTCCGTTATGGATAAAAATTATCCCCGGTAGAAAATTATCCATATCGGGTACAATAAGCTTATCCTTTCGATACACTGTTATGAATAAATATTACCTCCAGTAGAAGATTATCTATACCGGGTACAATGATCTTATTATTTCAGTACTCTGTTATGGATAAACACTACTTTCAGTAGAAGATTATCCATATCTGGTATAGTAGCAGCTTACACAGCAGCTTGCAGTAGCAGCTTACACAACAACTTGCTTTCTTCTATAAATAGAAGAGATTTCAGTTCATTATATATATCAGTTTGAATTCGAATAATATATCAGTTTCTCTCTATACTTGTCTTTATTTTACAGTCTTTATTTTATAACACATTATCAGCACGAGACTCTACCATCTCGAGCAAATACTTTGAAAGTATCTGAGGTACGAACTTTCTTTTTCTATATAATGTCA